AAATAAATAAATTGAACTTTCATGGTTAGCATAAAAATGAAAAAACAAAACAAAACAAAACAAAAAACTAAAAGAAAAAAATGAAATTATTCTAATTATTTTCTACTTCTAAAAAGCGATATAACTATTGCATGCAATTAGAGAACAAAAACCGAGAAAGCAAAAATGACGGCAGTTTGTTTGGTCGAAGTTTAAATGCTATCAGATTCCTTTCTCTTTTTTCCTTTCCGTTTCAAGGGTATTTATAAATACGATTATAAACAAGGCTTTAAACTATGGATTTCTCGCTAAAGACAAGACACATACTTGCAAAACCCAGACCAAATCACTTTGAAACCATATTCTAAATCATCCTCTGCACTGAATCTCTGACACAGTTGACAGGGCAGACAAACGGGTTCTACTTTCGACGTTTATGCGTTAATAAGCTTTATATTTCAGGCTCTTTTGGGGCTGATTAACAAAATGCCAAAATTTGGGGAAATTTAAGGAATGCGTATTTGAGATATAACGCCCTGAACGTTGGGAGAGATGATATTTTGATCAGCACAAAAACAAACATTTTTGCTAATATCTCGAAGTAGAATTGCTCGAGGTTAGCAGAATTTTGTGAAAAGTTTAAAGCACAAGATAATGAAACACTAAACGTTTTTTTAGCATGAATGAGAGATGAATGAATGAAAATTGCAAAAGTAGCAGCCTTGTCGTTTTTCTGCTCTGTCGACGTACACAGTTTAAGTCATAAGACGCTACTTTACTCCTCGCGCGCAGATCAACCAACCAACATCAACCAACTCATTCCTTAAATATACCTCATAAAACCGTCCTCAAAATTTGTCGATTGATTCTTCTATCACTGATAATCTATGACAACTTAGATTAATTCCGTATTCAGTGTAAACTCAAGTCCTTTCGGACCTCTGAATGTTAGCTCTGTGTGTGCCGTATTATTCCTTCCGTTGACCCAGTAATCCATCGATGTTTTTATTTTTGACACATGAGTAAGTAGAGCTGTATGTTATGTTCATCTCACCAGGCTTACATGTTTGTTTTTGTTTTGTTTTCGCAATAAAGTTTAATCTTCTTGATCAGGCGAGCCTGAGTCTCCTAAGACTGTGATTATCGACCTATTCCTTTGAAAGGCCCGGCAACACACATTTACTGACTACAGTCAAAGAACGGATGCAGTCTTGAGGGCTTCGATATTGGAATATTGCGCTATCACCTAGTTGAATCGTAAATCATTAACCTGTTAAAATCCGACCAAATCTAGTAGTATTAGAATGAAGAACCTTCAGAAAGCGACCATGGTCTGTCGGTCGTTTTTGAGAGGTCCGGCCAACGGAGAAAAATACTTAATATTTTTAAAGAATTAAAAGCGAAAAACCAATCGCAATAGCAAGAACTTTATCATATAAATAATAATCAATTTTTGTTCCGACCATCTTCATAGACATCTAAGTTAATCTAAATGTAGATTTGAAGCTTTTGTCGCTGCCTTAAGGTCGAGACGCACATCATATCAAGGTCATTTCTACCCATAATACATTGTAAGCAGAGCCGCACCTAATTTCACGAATCTGAATCAGAATTCGATATGGTGATAAATGACCTCATTTGGGGAATTAATGCATATAAATATTATACTTCTAATATTGCTATTTGAGACTTTACTTAGCTTTATATATCGGGCTTGTATGATGTAAAGTAAAAAGACATGTCATAGAGACTTGGCGATGAATTGGTCACGTGATCGAAGTAGAAAAATGCCAAAAGGGAGTTGATCAGTTCAGAGCATAATGAAAGTCGTACTTGGCTCAATAACATCAAGAATTACTAAACCTTATTTTTTATCTCTAGTTTTAGCCTGAAATTATTTTTATGCTCTTAGAAAACTTTTTATTTTTCTATACGCGGATAAGCTTTATATGATCTAAGAACTTCGCATTTTTTAAAGATTTTTTGTCATTCATTCATTTATTTTGAGATATATCTTATAATATTTAAACTAAATACCTGCAATATTTACCACAAAAAAATACTTCCTAAATTACATTTTTATTTCTATACRAAACGGAAAATAAAAGCGTTGTTTTTTGTTTTTTTGCTTTTTGTATTTTTTCCTCGACAAAAGTTTTGAAGTAGGAAAATAAAAGGGAATTTGATTGTCTGTTTGACTTCCACGCGCAAGGTGTCGTTCCCTAAAAGGCTTGTAAAATTCCCTGATTACGACATGTCAGAATAAAGATTTTACCGTTTTTATAAGTTTACATTGTTGCGGAAACCCATTACACTGTCGTTCATGTTCAATTCAACTGCAATTCCAAACGTTTAATTATTTTTTTTCGATTTCACATATTTTATATCTACGCGCAGTTTTCCCTTGCTATTCTTCAATCTTAGTAGGACAACCACTAGCCACATCATAATAGAATGATGTTGAGATTTCATTTCTGTGGGAAGACCACGATATTGTTTATCATAAAAACGCTTAATTTCTGGTTTTCGAAAATTAAACGCGTTATTTTGAGCGTTTTGAAGAAGATATAGTGTAAGATTTACTTAACCTAAATGATCACCCTGGTTTTATATTCCATAAATTGAAATAAGCTTTCTGTCATGGGAATAATCGGACTAACCACTTGTACTATCGATTTGTTTACGATAAGTTATTTTATAGAACTGCAATCTTTATAACGCTTGAATGTGTATAGAAAGGAAAACATCCAGAGAACTTGACGTTTGGTAGCGAGCTATGTACACTTGTTCGTTCTAGGCGATACGCTTAAATCTTCAATGCCAAACGATACCTTAGATAATCAGTAAAGTAACACCTATTCTTTATCGAAATTAATATAGATGGGAGTATTTTGAGAACGTGTTAGGTAGCATTGCGAGAAATACCGCGCATTTCGCTTCCACAGCTGTCTTGATTGATTACTAATGCTCTGTTCTTGAGTAAGACTCGCCGAGCGACAATTAGTTCGAACGAAATTATGATTAGGTCTTGCGAGTGCCTATTTTATGAAATTCACAGCAGGAAGCAAGAGCGAAGATCTTTTAGGGAATGTAATTGAAAAAAAGAACTGGCATTGAATCTCTTATCTTTTTATTCGCTAAAAAAAATTAAAAATTTGAAACACATTTCAGTGAATTGGTCTTGAAGTTTCCCATAATAAAACAATGAAGCTAATGAATTATTGTTGGAAAAATAAGCTTAAAGAGACGGAATTTGGGAAATATTTATTACGGAGTTAAGAAATATATCTAAATAGACTAAAGATAAAGATAGGCACGTAACGAATARTAAAGTCTGATCAAGGTTTCCCACAAATTCTTTTCAAATTATCCGTACTTACTATTTTCCTCCTTCGCTCATCCAATGTTAATCCATTTTCGTCAGGTAGAAAATTCAAATAATTCGGCGAACGGGAATTTTTTCGTCTAATCGAACCAAACACGCTTTTTTTCCTGCGAACGCTCATGATGCCTTGATATTTTTCCTTGGTTGTGTGAAGATTTGGGTGTGTTCGTAGAGATATCCACTGTAAAAGAGCTTTGGAGATTATATTTTCTTGTCAGATTTGACAACTCGCATGAGGGTGCATTAGCAAGCCTTACGAAACTTACAAACTCGTCCGTGGTCGAACGTATTAAATCGTGTACGTCAACTTGGAACTGACAATTAAAATGAGGTGGATTTAGCATGCAAATTATTCAATTCTGAGATTGATTTTAGCTTTAAAAAAAGCACTTCCTTTCTTACCTCAATTAACCTGTACCCTCTCTCCAAAACCACGTTGCCAAATTTGGAATTGAGCATCATCGCGCTTGGACTACGTGAGAATTAATATCGACCGCGCGTCGTGAAAGAACACAGGGGTGTTTATGTGAGTCAGATCAAATGATAAGAATAGATTTCCATTCAAGAATTGCTAAGTCAATCACAGCCTTAACCCACTATGTATTCATTGTTTTTGTCTTTCAAGAAATTTGACCAAGGAACTCTAGCTTTTTGTAACTTGACACTTAGTAATCGTTGAATATTCTCAGGTCTAAATTCATTGGCCTTGGCGGTATTTTTCTTCTTTTTTTTTTTTTTTTTTTTTTTTTTTTTTTTTTTTTTTTTTTTTTTTTTTTTTACCTTATATTTAAAACAATATTTTAGTGTTTTGGAAATAAATTGCAAACAATACGAAAAGTGTATTAAATGAGTACAAAACAGATGTAAAAATGTTAATAAATATTTTTGAGTTTGATTTTCCTAGCCTCATACCAAATAGCCGACGTATTCAAAACATGTTTCATTTTATCATAGTAATAAACTGTCCACAGTGTTCCAATGTCTAAACTATTATTTTATAGATGGTCTCGAAAAGCCCAATTAAACCTTTTCATCTTAATGTAAACATTTCAAGTTCACATTCCTTATTTTCATCCAAGTGAAATTCTTGAGCTTTGCTGTCAAATCCTTATACTGAATTTCTTGGCTATTAGAAATTTCCTTATTGAACAGTACTGACCAAATTGGCGCCTTTTTTGAGAGCCGTGTCTTTTTCTTCACATCCCTTCTAGCATGACTGCCAATACGAAATGAAAGTTTGCAAGGCAGAAACCAAATGTGCAATATATGATTTATTTTTTATGCCCAAGCTAATAACATTTCTTAACGAAAGATTGAATAATTCTGATATATAATTAGATATTTTGCGAATGTAGCTCAGGTTCAAGTGAGTTTGCCTAGACGGCTAAATTCCCTTTAATTTCAACTGGAAGTAATGAGGATTTTATTTTGATAGAGTGTCGTATATCAGTCGTCATGAACTTAGAATCCTTGATTTCATTCACAGAACGATTCCACAGGAGCTCCGAAGGTTTAGAAATTAGTACCTGACTGATAATTGGCTATGTTGAGGAAAATATTAATTACTTAAGTTACATGGGCGGGTCGAACCGAATTTAAATGGTTCTTTAAGGATTTTTCGCGCGTGTCAAACACCATGAATGATCAATGTTTGGCAAATTAAAGAACTATGAATTCTATCTGGACTGCGTATATGTGACTTTGAAATGGCTTTCAGAAAAAGACAAGTTTTAATTCGCAAATTCGCGAATTTTTGCATTCTAATGGATTCTTTTGACACTAAAACGTCTTGTGTGGGAAGAATCTTTTGGCGCTCATTTCGGAAAATTAGCTTAAAGAATAAAGGAAAAAATAATAGAATTAGCTTGAAGCCAGTAAGTATTTTTTGACTTTGAAATGGCTTCTTTTTCTTGGAGAGCAAGTCGCCCTATTTGGGAAAAAAGAGACCTCAGATCTTATTTACTGATTAATGGTTTCCCTCAGGAATGTTCAAATCAATAAAGGAAGTTTGCAGTGAAATGGTTTCCCATAGAAATGCGTTCCTCGGGGGATTTGCTTGTTATCAACGAACTACTAAATGGCTTTCCTTAAGTAACAAACAAAGCTTCAAGGCCGTATTTGAATTATCAGTAGTCTAGGTTATTCAGGGTATTCTTTCTCGGAAGAAGGCTCACTCGAAGAAAACCTTTCTAATGTCAATATACTATTAAATGGTTTTCTCGTAGAAACAAATCCATGTGAGGAAAATGTTCTGAATCATGTTTGAACAAATGCCTTGCCCTTAGTTGATATTAAATGGTTTTCTCTGAGATACAGCTGTAACTCGCTTGAAGAAAGCTTTATTTTGATTACTGTTAAATGGCTTTCAATCAAAGATAGCGCACTCGAGGAAATTCTTCTTCCTTAATTACTGCCAAATGGCTTCCAAAATACAAGCTTATATTTCTCTTTCCTTCCTTCCTTCCTTCCCTGCTCTTCCTTCTTTCTCTCTCCCATTCTTTCTTTCTTTCTCCCACTTTTTCTCTTCCTAGCCTTTTCTTCTCTCTCTCTTTCACATTTTCTTCATAATTTTAAGACAAAATCAATAGCAAAGGCAACCACTGTCCTACCACAGGCATCCCACCGAAAACCACGCTCAGGAAATTAAAAAGACGCGATGATAACAAGGTTCTTCCTATAGTCAAACATGTTATAGATAWGGATCTAAATACAGGAAGATGAATGAAATTACAATCATAAAATGTGATAATCAGACTAAAGGAGTTACCGATGATTATCGGCGACCACAGGAATCCCACTAAAGGAATTTGCACAAGGGTGATAATGCACATTCGAGTTGGAGAATATGAAGATTCTAAGAATGTTTTTTAGGTTAATTAATAATTAATGAAGAGACAAAGAAAAGGAATTTGTCAAGAATATTGGTTTATAAAGTCCATGGGGAGGTATGGTATTAATGGTGTAATTTATACCTATATCTCTGTCTGTTTGTTTGTCTGTCTGTCTGTCTTTGTGTTTGTCTGTCTGCGTCTGTTTGTCGGTCTGTTCTCAAACATGTTAAGGACTGGGTTATACACCAATTCTCTTTCAGAAAATAAAAAAATTATTTCTGGTCATTATGTTTTCTCAAACTTTCTTAAATCGTGGTTCTTTACAAGTTGGCTCCAATAAACGGGTAAAAATTTAGGTCACGTGACCACGAAATTTACATAAAATTTCATTTAAATAGGCCCTTTGCAGCTCAGTAATCACGTGCTGATTAATTCACTGAGAGCAAATGAATGAACATTTTGATTCCCATGGGTGAAATATACTGGAGAGCAAACACACTTTCTACAACCTGTTTCGAGAGATCGTAATAAAACTGCATTTCGTAACACACTGTTTACACATGTTTTCATTCAGTTCTTTACAAGTAGATAAAAAGAATCATCAATTTAATATAAAAACAAAAAAAATTTGCATTCCAGTACAGACACGTGACAGTTA